CGCAATTGCACAGGCTCTTCGCAATCTCTGTGATTCCGCAATCTTGCGGATTCGGAGAGAACAATTTTTTTAAACCGAATTTATTTTTGTTATCTCGAGTACAGAGTTGCGCACTGTCGATGACGAGATACAAATTTCCCAATTTCCAACACAACTTTTTTAATTTTTTTAAAAACATTTTTGAAACTTAAGTTGAAACAAAATAGAAAAGAAAAATTTATCAATGTTCATGCATTTATATAGTATTGCATTTTAATTATTTTATGAATGCTTCGCATTTATCATTAATACGTGAAGCGCATTTGAAGTTGTTTTATCTCCTAAATTAAATGTGTTTATTAGATTTCGTTTGTTAACTTTCAAGGAACTACTCTATGTAATATAATAATGTTTTGAAAAAGGCACATAGAAGATATTTGACATAAATGTGCTTTACAAACGTTAACAAGAATGTGTGTTTATCCTTTTCGTTTAAAAATGCACGATTTATCTTACATCTTAATAACCAATCCACTCCTTCCTAAGATTTGACAAATATCTCTCAATAACAAGTTTCAGTTCCGTTCTATATAATTTCTAAATAATGTTCCAAAACAAAAGGTTAAAAAATTATGAACCTCTTGTTAAAATGTATTTGAGGAGACTTATTAATAATATTTTTCATATGTTCCATAAAGGTCTTCGTGGTTCGAGCTTCTGCCAAGATGTTGACGAGGTTAGTTGCAGCTACGCTCCTTTTGGCAGGTGAGTGAGTGTGTTTCAGTTCTCTTATATACGGGAAACCGTGTCATACTGGTCAATATTTTAATGTGATCACACGAATTTAGGTTCAGAACTCTAGATTCAAAATTACATCGCCACTATTAGCATCATTATTATGGCAAATATGATTGCGGATATAAAAGTGAAAATTCACTTTGCGAAAATCTGTACATTCAATGTTTTTAACCAATTTAAAAGTCGTCATGAAGAAACAGTCAGGGGTTAAAGTGAGCCATTTTACTTGGCAGCTAGTGGGCAGACGGCGTAATTTCACAAGCGCATTTCTGTCCCGTTACTGAAAGCGCACCGCTACATTGAGCAACAGCTACTTACACAGTAGTCAGCTTAAAACACTTTTCAATTGATCAATTGCCTGGTAAGGGTTCGAATAAGTGATCCTTCAGGAAACAATGGAAATCGTAGAGAGTACAAAGCAAAGCATTCAAACGTCGATCACGCTATGTTTCCTGAGAGAAAAGAAACCGGCCTAAAAAAATTGAAAATTATTCCATTTCATAAACACTTTTTATACTTTTTTGCATAATACATTTTTGCAATTGCATTTTGAATAAGAATGATGAAGTATTTTTTATTTGTCAAGTTATATCAAAACTATTTAATTTCAAATATTGGGTGTAATAGCCGCATTTTAGGATCTTTGTCATATATTATATTTTGAGAATTGTAAATTACTTTAGTATAATTATTATCCTATGATAACATTCTACATCGATTTTTATGTTTTTAATTATTTTTATTTAAAACTGACTAAGAAATATATAAATAACTTTTTAGTCCATAAACCATACACTATAATTTAGAAATTCAGTCAGAATTTCAATATTCATTTAATAACAATTTTTCTCTGTGCAAAGTAAGCTTGTTCACTGAGTTCACTGAGCAAAGTTAGACCACTTTATATAAGTTCATTTTGGGACCTCAATTTTTGCTTCTTTTAAATAACAATACATTTACAAACGATCATACATAAAGTAGCCAAGGCATTGTTGTATGGATGAAATCATTTTATTTTATCAAAATTATTTTTCTTCTCTGCGGAAAGCGAGATTGGAACAATCATGACTACGACGTCGCCCAGATTTTCTCTACAGCATCCCCTACCGAATACACCTAGTGACTCTGCCTTTTCAAAAACTGAAAGCTTCCAATCTTCTAGAAATGTGTAAACAGGTGGTAGATGGACGTATGCGTTTGTTTCCTTATCACTTTTGACGATTTTACCCTAATAAAAGCTTAACAGAGTACCATTAGTGAGATTCAAATGTACGGGTAATACTCAATGAAATCTCTCCTCCTCTCAGTTGCCCACAAGAGAGCAGTAGTGTAAGCGGATCTCGAACTTAAACGTTAGACACGATCACGCGGTGATTAAAAAAAATAGTGAAGCATATTAGGAATGTTTATCAACATGTTTACTTTTTTACCGTACACATCCTATCTATTGTGGGATCAACATATTTTATAACCTGTTGACAAACACGGTGCTACGACGAGCGGCACTACAGGAACGCTGAGACCGATCCGTCACGAAGCTCTGGCGCTGGCGCTGGCGTGGGCGGGACGTGTCACGTTCACGTAGGCGCGCGACTGGACTTCATTTGGTCCAATTATGAAACCCACTAACAATAATACACTTACAGTTACATTACAATAACTTATAATTGAAGGGGTTGGGGGAACGAAGTGCTATCCCACAGATCTATATTTTTTGTCAGCCAGAGGAAAAACTGTTGTAGTACATTGAGATGTTTCTTGTTTTCTATATTTCCTTTTGGCTTCTTTCCACCCACATACTAGTAGTTCTATGAACACGTTTGTTCAACGTTTTGACCTAATGTTTGTTTTTAGGAGACATTCTAAGACCGATGCTTTCAGTTTATGAAATGAGAGTTAGCACTATCTTCTCTCGACCCCTTCAATTTATTTATAATAATAATAATAATAATAATAATAATAATAATAATAATAATAATAATAATAATAATAATGTCTTTATTAATGGCGAATTTATATGTTTATTTAATTATTTGTAAGCATATTTATAATTTATGTGTAATGTTTGGTGCATAACACAGTTTGAAGGAATACTCATGAGAAATGTATTTCAATTATAAATAGCATTTATAAGGCAAATGCCTTTTTTATTTTCTTTCAAGGTTAAAAGTAGATGCCACTGAAAATTGTGTCACCACGGAATCAGTATTTAAAAGCACCTTAAGTAAATCAAAACTAAGAATTTAAAATAAAAGGAAATAAGTACAGAAGGGAGAAGATAATGCAAAATTAAAGAATTGGGAAACCATTTGGAAAGTTATAAAGGAAATTAAATTCAGGAATAGAAATCAAATACATTGATTACTTCACGTGGTACAAATAAACAAAATCTACAAAAAAGTTGAAAAAATGATTCACTTCTTGCCTTGTTGTTCAGATCGAGCTACTCAATTTCAAAATATTTATTATTTCTTAGTATTGGTGAAATACATTTTTATTTGATACGTCCATTTAAAGCATCTTACAATTTGTTACAGTGAAAATAATTTTCAAGTGATAAAAATGATTAGACATTTGAAGACGTGAAATATTTAATAACTGTTACTCTTTTTCAGCTTTGGCGATGGTGTGGAGTATGCCAGCATCAAAAACTCTGCACCGAGTACGTAATTATGAATTTTGTTTCCTCGGTTAATCAATTATATACAAGAAATCGTCAGATCCACTTCAGAAATATTGAAAACGAATCCAATAGCAAATATACTGTAGGTAATAATATAATAAATATTTTCATGAGATAACTTACGGCAAGTGGTGTTCCGCACAATTATTATATTTTAATGCCATAAAACAGTATTAGTATGTAAGGAAATGTAAGGAACATATCAGTTAAGAGAATTTAGAATTTATCAGTTCATTTAAATAAAGCAAAATTATTTAGGGGAAGTATAAACTAGATTTGAATATCTAGAAGTAAGGTACAGGATCAACTCAACATTTTCTTAGATCTAGGAAAACGACGAAACTACGGAAGGATATAATTTTTGAAGTAGATGTTCAAATTCCTATGGATGCGAACCAGATTACTGGCGCATCTGTAGTACCCAATTCTAACAGAAACGCACTCTTGGAGATACATGAATATTAATCAACTCTTCAGCCAATAAGCACCGCCTAATAAGATTATGCATCATTAAATAATAAATGCATGATTTCAAATTGACTATAATTATATGGGTAAAGTTACAATCAATATTGTTTTAGAGGACTGTCATTATACTATAACTATTACCATTATAATATAATCAAATTTAATATAACTATTAAAACCTATTACCATTATAAAAAAAACTTGTATTGCAATCAACTATACTGAGAAAGACAGTCAAGCTTGGTATTTCATTGTCTCACAGAAAAACTATTATATTGACCCAAGACATGTGATATACTTTGGAAAGTTGATTGCAAATTGACACTTAATTGTTCTTTATTTCGTTACTCACGTAACCCATTTGCCGTCGTTACTCACAGCACATAATTCGCATGATGAGAGACAGATAAAACATTTTGTAAAGGAGCTGTGAAGTTGAATGCATGAGGAAGCTACTTCATGCAAGATTGAACTTCATTTAGTTTGCTACATCTCACATATAAATTTAAAGTGGCGAGCCTAGACCATATTTCCGCGAATTGTGGATGCCAAATGCGTGCGCAGAGAGGGGCAGTGTTTACGTGAATGAAGGGAGTCTAGTGAAGCTGTATCTCACTTTTGACGTAAAAGGGATTGTCAATGTTGCCTACAAAACGATTAACAAATTTTTACATTCATTCGGGTCTCAAAAGTCGGGCCATTGGCGTTGCCCCGGAGGCAAATTGGACAAGGCAAAGAGGCCAACTTTACCCCAACACCTTAACATGCACAAATTTTTCAACTAGCAAGCCAAGAATATAGTGCATTGCACTGTGTTTTATTTAATATTACGCTTTAGCTGTTTGTAAAAAAAATCGTGCGTGTGAAGAAAGGTGAAACTTGAAAGGCCACTAGTAGGTAAAAGGAATAACCGGAATACGAAAATTCGAGAAATATAAGTATATTATTAAATTAGACAAAGCAATAAATCAATACTTTGGATAGTTTTGACGATGAAAGGAGTTGTCCGCTGAGGTTCGGCAGATGGCAGGGCGTTCCACGGGGCCCCGGGGTTCCGTGGGTCGGCCCGAGCGCCGCGCGCGCTGCCTGGCGGGCGGTGCGTGACGTGAGCGTGACGCGTGCGTGCGCGTGCCCCAGGCCAAGCGCTGGGAGGAGTTCCCCAACGTCACCTTCACCTTCGACTGCGGCGAGCGCGCCGTCGGCTTCTACGCCGACACCGAGCACCACTGCCAGATCTTCCACATGTGCGACGAGGACGGCCGCCGCATCCCGTACATCTGCGCCAACGACACCTCCTTCAACCAGCAGTACCGCGTCTGCGACTGGAACTTCAACCACGAGTGCAGCGACGCGCCCAACTGGTGAGTGCGCGCCGCCCGCGATTTCACGCACATTTCACGCACAGGCAGCAGGCCCCTTCGCGCTTCTCTTCCCACACATCTCCTGAACATAGCCCCTACATTAGATCCTCCTTCTGTTTCTCCTCCTGTTTCTCCTCCTTCTGTTTCTCCTCCTCCTGTTTCTCCTCCTCCTGTTTCTCCTCCTCCTGTTTCTCCTCCTTCTGTTTCTCCTCCTTCTGTTACTCCTCCTTCTGTTACTTCTCCTTCTGTTACTTCTCCTTCTGTTACTTCTCCTTCTGTTACTTCTCCTTCTGTTACTCCTCCTTCTGTTACTCCTCTTTCTGTTACTCCTCCTCCTGTTCCTTCTTCTGTTTCTTCTTCTGTTCCTACTGTTTCTTCTTCTTTTCCTTTTGTTTCTTCTTCTGCAGCTTCTTCTTCTGTTTACATTTTTTCTTCTACTTATTCTTCTTCCTAACAATGTGAAATGTCGAAAACTCTTTTCAGTTCATTCAGATGAAACTTTTGTATTCTTCAAATGTTCTTTTATTTTTTATTTTTAGGAAGATTTTTTGGTGCACTGACGTGACACTGAAAATAAAATATTCTCTCCCCCTTTAACGAGGGTTTAAGCTTAGGCAACTAAGACAGAAAACGTAGAAAGGAGATGGAAAACTTTGCAAGAAATATTTTGAATACATTTGTTTCACAAACGCAGATGAAAAATATTTAAATAAAAGAATTAAATTTGATGTTAATATGGTATATTTTTTAAACGTTAAAGAGAACATTTAAAATTTATGCCATTTCATTCTTGCACGTGTAATGCATATTCCTGATTCTAATAATAATTGACACACTTTTACTTTTACTTTAAACGAAGAAAACAATTTTAATTTTCGTATTTATTTATTTACGTAAAACAGTTAAAACCTGTGTGTGACGTGCTATGGCGAGAAGTTAATTTCAAGTTACATTTATGTCCAGAAGCAAAACAAGGGGGCTGTCTCAGCATTTGTCCAAGGATCATTGACCCAAGAAAAAACATTATTTTCTAAAGAATGTCACAATAGTTTGAATTACATGTTAACGATCATATAAATATACTTGCAGAGAGTCTAAAACAGGGTAAGGAATTACTAGGAATTAGAAAATTTTAAAATAGTTCTGCTGCATAAATCAAAAATTGTTCACAAAACGAAGGCGAATTGTATGAACGAAATAATTCTGCAATGATTTCGTTCTTTTGTAAAACTCGTAGAGTGATCCCATGGCCCCAAAACTTGTATTTGCTGACAAAAAGCAAAATATGTTAAGTGCTATTATAAGCATCGCATTTCTAGCTAATTCGGAGTTGCATATTAGGCACGATTACTATATTTTGCTTACATGAGAACGAATGACAAAATGGCAATTTTCTTCAATTTCTAACTATCCAACAGTCTCTTTTCTTAGGAATAGATGATGCATAATCAATTATTACAACACAAAAATTTAATTTGTATATTGCATTAACTTCAAGTAGGAATTCGGCAAAAACTACTAGTTTTCCTGTGAAAAACTATAAACGAGCTTATTTCAAGATCTAATTTTTTTAGAACAGGTATTATTGAGAAAAAAATCTATATTATTAATATTCTACTTTTGCATTTTTAAATTTTCGCAATTTTTAAAAAATGTAGAGATTTCGCAAAAAATGGAATCTTCTTTTTTAAGCGACTAATGATTTTTCATAGAAAAAAATACAGAAAAATATGGAGCCATTTTTATATATGGATAATAACTCCACATAAAATATGGAGACTTTTTATATATGGATAATAACTTCATAGAAAAATATGAAGACAATAAGTGTTTAAAAATTGCCTGCATTTGAATCAAAATTACGCGCAAACTGCTCATATTTTGAAAAAGTGTAAATGATCGTATTTTAAGATGTCATTGCTGAACAGATTTCATTAAGAAAAATCTCTATCTTTAACTTTGAAGTTTTAGGAAGACTCTGAACAATTTTTAATTTTCCCAATTTTCAAAAGAAATTAGAACGAAAATGAGAACAGTATAATTTTTTCAGCGTTTTTTATGCTATCGGAGGGAAACTTTAATAAAAAAAAATTGAGAAAAAATTAAAAATGCTGTTGACGCTTAATGTAAACTATTCCAAAATATCAAATTATCCGTTTCAAAGTTGCAAATTTTCGAGGTTGGCCAGATTGATCGTGAAATTTCAATTTTGGAGAAATCGTCTGAACGATTTAAATCCTAATGTTGACCATAGTCGGATAGACAGACGTTTTGTCGCCTATCAATTTTTTGGCATCAAGAACTCACAAAAGAGGCGCAAAATCACTTATTTTTGACGCAGCATTATAATAACATTATATTTACTTCGGAATTATGAAGTAAGACTAGAATATAAAAATACATACTCATGCATGTTCAGTTCACACGTCTCTAACTTAAGTGTCCTGTTATGCACACATATTATGCAAAGTACATTTTTATTAATTCAATTGTAATGAAATATTTATAATCATAAATAACAGGGACTGTAGGCTGTGAGGTTTCTCAATTAAAACCATGTTGACTAATAGGATGGCAAGTTGTAAGATGCTTCTAGTGTCGCAATACACATGACATCTTATGACACTTTAAAGTCACTGGAATTGCACGTAAGAAATGGCTCACAGGTAAGAAATTATGTAGCAACTACAAGTCTGATGAGTTTATTAAGACGTTTAACTATGGACGCTTTCTGGTTTGTCTCCTTTCCTCAAGAGTTATTTCGCACATACTGATGAACAGTTGGAATGTGGTTAGCAACCAGGACTAGCAACTAGCAACTCTACACCATTCTGCTTTTGCTCAATTCAGAACCTCGGCGGAACGAGATCCCATCAAACTTTTCTACTGAACGTACGAATGCGTTCGAAGACTGATGTGCGAACCTGCGAATCCGACGGTAATGGGTGTTTCGCAAGGCTGTAAACGCGGCTAATGCAAAAACGGACATGTAAAATAGCCGGTTTCTTCCGTGACGTGAAGCGGGCTGCGCGGCGTGCAGCTGGGAGCTGGTGGCGGGGACAGGGCGGTGGAGAGCGGGAGGCGGGAAACGGGCGACAGAGAATGAGCGGCGGAGAACGTGTGGCGGAGAACGC